CTTAGCCCATTGCTTTTCATCCACATCCAGCTTTCTCCTTCCAACCCCGGGGCCACCTGGAAATCGCCGAGAAACTTGACATCATCCGTCAGAAGTGAGCTCCCTCCCAGCCCTTTCCACCCAGCCCTCCCCACCCCAACAGCTGGCTGCCGGCTCTGCCTCCCCCAGCCCAGTACTGGGTGTGGAGCCACCTGGGCCGCACCCCTCATGAATGTTTGATACCCGGTTCCCCGTTTGGCATCTGGGCCTCTGCCCCTGGGTATTCAGTCTTTCCCCACCCCCAACACCCCCAGCCTCCAAGCCCTGGTCCACAAGCCCCCGCCTGTCTGCCCATCCGTCTCTCAGGCGCCTGTCTCACGTGTCTGGCCACCGCTCCTATTACCTGCGCGGGGCTGGAGCCCTCCTGCAACATGGCCTGGTCAACTTCACCCTCAGCAAGCTCATCCAGCGGGTATGGTCCAAGTATGAGAGGCTACCTGGAGGGGTGGCATTGAAGCTGAGCTCCGAAGGCTCGAGGCAGTGAGGAGGGGGTGTGACCGCTGTTCCAGTTACTGTTTTCAGAACTTCACATGTATCATTGACACATTTAATTCTATGACAACTTTTGAGGTGGGTGCTAGTATTATCCCCACTTTAGAGATTGAGAAATTGAGGTCTGGAAGGGGAGTAAGTAGCTGAAGGCTCTATAGCTAGCATGTAGGCTCAAGGATAGAGCCTACATTTGTAACCACTGCGCTGCTGCCTGCCTGCTGTGTACACAGTGTTGCGGAATCATGGCGTCCATTGACACTGGAGGGGGGTTGGCCAGGGCTCAGTGCATGGGGCATTGGCCGTGGCAAGGGACTGGGACATTACCTGGGGAGCCACGGAAGGCTTTAAGCAGGGGAGGGAATGATAGAACTGTGATCTGTCGTATGATCTGAGTGTGGAAACCATGAAGCGCCAGAAGAGGGTCCCAGTGACAGGGACACCAGGGCCGGGGCCAGCAAAGCCCACTGCTCAGGTCTTCCTCAGTTTCCTCTGAAGTGGAATGGACTTTGGAGTGACAAGGGAGTGCAGTGGCCATCTGCAGTGTCCCTTCAGGCCTGAGCTTGGGATCTGGGGGGGTCTTGGCTGTGCTACTCACCCCTTTCCTTCCCCACACAGGGCTTCACCCCCATGACAGTGCCAGACCTTCTCCGAGGAGCTGTGTTTGTGAGTGAGGACTCTGCTCTCCAAGCCGAGCTGTGATCAGGCCCTGCGCTGGGGACCCCGGGCAGAGGCCAGCCTGTCTCCCTAGGAAACTGCCCTAGGGCTGGCTTGAGGGGCCGGGATGGGCCAGGGAGGCCAGGGTGGTTCCAGATTCTTATAGGGGAGGAGCAGGGGTTGTGACTGCAAAGTGGAGGAGGCTGTGCCTCACTGACCTCTGTGGCTTGGCCTCCTCAGGAAGGCTGTGGGATGACACCTAATGCCAACCCATCCCAAATTTACAACATTGACCCCTCCCGCTTTGAAGACCTCAACCTGGCCGGGACAGCAGAGGTGGGGCTTGCAGGTGAGCACCTGCCTGGGGCAAGGGTGGTGAGTACACCTCCAGTGTCCTCAGAGCAGGAGCAATTTTAAGGGGGCAACTTGGAGTATGCTGGGGGGTGGCGGCTGCCTGCCCAGGGTACCTTGGCAACCCCATAGCCAACATGTACAGCTGTGCAGGTTGTTTACTGCCTAACAGCACAGTGAGCGTCCAGCCACATGCCGGACACGAGGCTGTGTCTGCCAGAGGGGATACCTTTTATAATCCTACAAAAGTTTCCTGTGGATGGAGGGTGGCCCTGGCTGACCCAGACTGTCCCCCTCTCCTCCCAGGCTACTTCATGGACCACGCTGTGGCCTTCAGGGACCTGCCAATCAGGTGATGCCCAGTTCCTGTAGACCTTGCCCCCACCTGTGATGTTCCCTCTCCCTTCCCTGACCCCACCATCCCTGCTCCCCCAGGATGGTTTGTTCCAGTACCTGCTACCGGGCAGAAACACACACAGGGAAGGAGCCCTGGGGGCTATACCGAGTGCACCACTTCACCAAGGTTGGCATAGCAGGGACTTGGGGGGGCCACCCAACAGCCCAGGGTCTCCTGACTCCTTTGCCCCCTGCTCTGTGCCAGGTGGAGATGTTCGGGGTGACAGGCCCTGGGCTGGAACAGAGCTCACAGCTGCTGGAGGAGTTTCTGTCCCTGCAGATGGAGATCTTGACAGAGCTGGGCTTGCACTTCCGGTGCGGAGGAGGGTGGGGCTGAGGTGGGGGAGAGAGGAGGTAGATGCTGGGCTGGCGCTCCCCCCATTCTGAAAACCCTCTCCGCTTCTCCCCCGCCCCCTTTTCCCTGTGTAGGCTATCTGTCTGCCTATCAATCTCTGAAGTCCTGACTGGGGTTATGGGATTGTAACCACAGCATCAGCAGCACAGGGTGCTCCAGGGTCGAGACCCAGGCCCCTTCCCTCCTGTTGCTCCCCATCCCTAAGGTGCTGCCTCTCTTGCAGTCCCAGGCGGCTTCTCACCACCCGGTGAGAAGGGGGGACACACCCCTTGCCTTAAAGATGTTGGAAGCCTACTTCCCCTCTCACTGTCAGTCACACGTAGCTTTCAAAAGACGCTGAAAAACACAGACTTTTTCTGGGGTGACCCATTACAAATATTTGGGGTGCTATTATTACAGACAGTGGGACTGGCCATGGTGAGCATCCTGGAGACACGGCCACAAGTCCTTTCTCCTCCCTGGCCTTCTCTCCCATCAGCTCCTTCCTGCCTCCTGTATCACCTTCTCCATCACCACCCACTGCCTCAATGAGGTGTCCCCTTTGCCACTGTCTCCCTTTTTTACTTCCATTGCCCACTTTTAGCTACCTTCTCTCCCACTGCCTCCCTCCTCCTCTCACCCTGACCTTCGCCTTGCCTGTCTCCATGGCTGCAGGGTCCTGGACATGCCCACCCAGGAACTGGGCCTTCCCGCCTACCGCAAGTTCGACATTGAGGCCTGGATGCCAGGCCGGGGCCGCTTTGGCGAGGTGAGCCCCCGCCCAGTGGGGACGCAGGGTGGAAAGGAGATGACACCGGCCCCACAGCTGATCCTCTCAGCTCACCCCACCCTCCTGTCCAGGTCACCAGTGCTTCTAACTGCACAGACTTCCAGAGCCGCCGCCTCCACATCATGTTCCAGACAGAGGCTGGGGAGCTGCACTTTGCCCACACGGTGAGCACCTGCCTCCACTCCCCACCGTCCACACCACCTCAACCCCTGGGGCCCACCAGCAGGCCTCAGCCTGAGCGTGTCTCTCTCCCAGGTGAATGCCACAGCCTGTGCTGTCCCCCGCCTTCTCATCGCCCTCCTGGAGAGCAATCAGCAAAAGGTGAGGGGCCCTGGCCAGTGTGGCTCAGTTGGTTGGGCATCATCCCGTGCACTGAAAGGTTGCTGGTTCGATCCCTGGTCAGGGCACATGCCCAGATTGTGGGCTCAATCCCTGGTAGGGAGCATGCAGGAGGCAGCTGATCGATGTTTCCCACTTGCATTGGTGTTTCTCCTTTTCCCTTCCTCTCTCTATAAACATCAGTAAAGAAATCTTAAAAAAAAAAAAAATGCTGAATTATACCCAAAAGGGCAGGGGTGGAGGGCTAGTGCAGTGGCAGCATCCTAAGGCCTGCTTTGTCCCCAGGACGGCTCGGTCCTCATTCCCCCTGCCCTCCAGCCCTACCTTGGCACCGATCGGATCACAGCCCCCACTCACGTGCCTCTCCAGTATATTGGGCCCAACCAGCGCCAGAAGCCCAGGCTCCGGGGCCAGCCTGCCTTGAACTAAGGACTCATCCTCATCAGCCACCTGGGTTGTCGCTGGCTGAGGGGACCGTGGACCCTGAGGCATGTCCTGAGCCTGCCCTGACATCTGGATTCCTCCTCAGCTCCACGCCTGGGCCTGTGGACTCCCGGGTCCACCTCTCCTTCCTGCTGCCTCAGAATCAGTGATCTTGTTGTCACTGGGGGTCCCAATGGGAAGCAGGACATCTGGGGACTTGAAGGATCTAGGGATGGGATAAGAAGAGAGACCTCCACCCCTTCTGTCTTCCCTCCCCCCTTAGTACTTAGCAGAAAGTCCCTAATAAATGGTCAGAACAATGGTCTTTGTGGATCTGTGAGCAGGGGAGATGGCCCTGGCCAACTAGTGTGGGTGGGGGCAATTGCTCAGAAGTGCTAAATGATCAGAGGGGCCATGGCTGGACATACCCAGCAACTCCTAGGGCACATGGACAATGCTGGGTTTGAACCCAGGCCCGCCTTTCAGTAGCTTGGGGACCAGCAGGGAGCTGAGGATGCTGAGGCCTCTCCCCCAATTTTGGGATAGTGACACCTCTCCCTGACCCGTTTCAACCTCACCTCTCGGTCCCCTGCTCCAGGTAGAGGGCCAGTAGGCAGCATTGATGGTGAAACCCAAATTTGCTCTTCCCCTGGGTGTGCCCGCTGCAGCATTTGGAGCCATTTTCCTAGCTCCCCTGGCCACAGCCCTGTAGGCATCCTCAATTCCTCTTCCATCCACATCTGCAGACCTGGGCAGTTGCACCTTCGGAATGTTTCCAGAGCTGCCCTCTCTCATCCCAGCCCCTCCACGGTCCTGTCCACCGCTACCTCCCATTTGGAGAGTTGCAGCCTCTTTGGTGTCTCCCTGCTCCTGTCTCACACATACAGCCAGAGCGCCCCTGTGACACAGGCATCAGGGCTTGTGCCCCCTGCCCAGAGCTCCCCTGTGGCTCCAGCTCAGGAAAGGACAGGGTTGTAGTAGGTGCTCAATAAAAATTACAGGCTTGAAGGTGCTGCAACCTGAGGAGTTCCCAGTACCCAGAACTGCTTAAATCAGTGGTCACCAACCGGTGGTCCTCGGACCACTGGTGGCCCGTGAGGTCCAAAAGGTTGGCAACTGCTGGCCTAAATGATCTTACACATACATTCATTTACTTAATCCTCACCGTCAAGCCTCACCTGTGGAATAGGTGGTCACCAACTCTATTTTACAAATGAAGAAACAGGTGTCAAAGAGATTAAGCAATTGTCCAAGGGCTGCAGGGCTGGGAGCTGGGAGTCAGGCAGAGCCCAGTCACAACCTCAGGGATAGGTAGGCTATGAGACCCACTTTCCAGGTGAGGAAACGGGCCAAGAAAAGGTAAGAGTTGCCTGAGGTTGGTCAGTAAGTGGCTTCTTCGAACCTAAGCCCACCTTTCAATGAGGCCTTTTGCTTGTCAGACCTTCTCTGGGGGAACCTCCCTATCCCCATGCTGGTTCTGTGCCGGAAGCAGGAGGGGAGAGGGTGCAGGGTGTGGGTCCCCATGAATAATTGAGGGACTCAGGCAGGTCAGCGCCCCGCAGCTGTTCCACCTGCAGTAGGAGGGCATGGTGGTGACATCACTTTCTCCCTGGGGGGAGGGGGTAATGGGTTATAAGGAGCTGCCACCCTAGCGCCGAGGACCCTGATTGGGAAGCACCACCATGCAGTGCCATGGAAGGCCCTCCGTGCTGCTGTTGCTGCCACTGTCCCTGCTGCTGGGGGCGTGTGAGTGCAAGGAACCGGGGAGGGGGCACCTCGGGGGCCAGGCTGGGGAGCAGGGTGACTGGGGGCTGGGACAGTACACCCAGCGGGTCGGATGAGAAACTTCATGGGCCCAGCTGTCTGGTGGGGACAGTACATGGGGCAGGTGGCTGGGGAGGGGACAGGGATCAGGGCGCCCTTGGGGCTGGGATCAGCACCAGGGACAGCGCTGGGGTCCCAAGCCCAGTTCCCATCTCCTTCCTCCACAGCCACTGCTGCTCCTCTGGCATCAAGATCCTCCAAGGAGGAGGTAAGGAGTGTGGACCTCTTGCCCTGCCTCATCTCCCTGGAGCCCTGGCCCTCCCTGCCCAGCTTCCTCCACATCACCTCCCCTCCAGCTGCTTTCCTTACCCCCATCTGCTCTCCCCTCAACCTCCCCTCTGACCCTTCACCCCCAGCTGACCCGCTGTCTGGCAGAGGTGGTCACAGAAGTGCTGACTCTGGGTCAGGCCCAGCGAGGCCCCTGCATGGCTCTCCTGCACAAAGGTAAGGAGGACCCAGGCTCCAGTTCCTCTGGGAGCCCACCCCACCCAGAGTTCTGCCCCGGGCTGCCTGGAGGGTGTTCTCTTATCCCAGGGCTTTCCTTGCCTCCTCCACTCACCTCCCTCTCCGAAGCCTCTTCCTTCTGCTTGGGCTCAATTTCTGGCTGGCAGAGGAGGTGGTGGTGTAGCAAGTCCTCATGCCCCTCCCTTCTCCCAAAGTGTCCAGCCTGGTCCCCAGCCCACCCTTGGGGCTCCTTAGGGGTACAGGAGGGGGGGCAGAGTGTCCCTGGGCCCTGACCCTCCTCTCCCGGTTCTGGGCAGTCCCCCTGCGGACCTCAGGAGGGCCCCGGAACTCCTCCAGATGTTTCCCAACTGGCTGCAGTGTCCTTTCTCTTCCCACCAGAGATGTGTGAGACAGAGCCCTACAGCTGTGTGTCCACTGAGGAGAAAGGCTTGCTGGTTAGCGATTTCAAGAAGCGGGAGGCTGGGAAGATGAGGTCCAGCCAGGAAATGAGGGATGAGGAAGAGGAGGCAGCAGAGAGGACCCACAAGTCTGAGGTGCGGGAACAGGCCATGCATGAGCATCTCCACAGCCGGCTCCGCCAGGAAGAGGACCATGAGGAGGCACAGAAGAAGGAGGAGGAGGAGGAAGAGGAAGAGGAGGAGGAGGAGAAGGAGGAGGAAAAGAAAAAAAGGGGGCCCATGGAGACCTTCGAAGGCCTGTGGAAGCGGTGGCAAGAGGATGGAGGGGACCCCCAGAAGCAGGTGGCAGAGCAGGCCAGTGACGAGGAGCTGGCCCAGTTCAAGGCCAAGGAGAAGGGCATGCATGTGCTGGGTGGGGGCAGCAGCCTGTGGCAGGGGGCCAAGGGCAGGGGAAGAGAGAGGCACAAGGACTCGCTGTACCACCACCGCCGCCAGCCAGAAACTGAGTCCAAGCAGGAGGAGAAGGAAGAGGCTTTGGAGAGGGAGGTGAGTGGAGGGGGCAGTGGGGAGCAGGGTGGACCAAACGCCAGTGGAGTTCCTACCAAACACCTACCAGTGTTGGGCCTTAAATAGCAAGATCCACCATGACTGGGTCACAGTGACCAGGACTGACACCAGGACTAGGTAGCAACATCCAAGGGCCTCTACTTGACCAAGAAGGCTTCCATTCTGATTACAGTCACCCAGATGGCCACCATCAGTTCACAGAGCATCTGAGTTAGCCACCACTGCTAGTCCCTGCCGAGCAAATCGGCCCCATGAAAAGGCTGCGGTGCCTGATTCACTGAACTATAGATGGATATATTGCTGGGTCAGAAAGTAAGATGCTTCCATGATTGATGGCAGCAACCAAAATGGCCATCCCCCCACATGGGTCATGGCATTCAAGCTGGGCACCTTTGCTAGTCCTGTGTCTGCTGCTGTTGGCTATGGCAGTCACCACAGACCTCACCACTGGTCACGTTACTCTTCCAGGGTTATAGCAACCACTGTGGTCACCATCACAGCCCATGATGACCAAGATGACTGCTGCCGGCTGCCATTGTGCGAGCTGCCATGGCCCACATTCATGGGCAACCACTGGTGTGGCCTGCCCTTGGAGGTGAGCGCTGACCACCCATTTCTGATCCCACCAGGAGCAGGATGTGGAGCAGCTGGAGCACGTGAGAGAGGAGCTGAAGAAGGCAGCGGAGATGCTGGGGGAGGAGCTCCGGAGGGAGGGCTGACTCGACCTCATGTCCTCCTTCTTCCTGGCACACCCTATGGCTTAGGACTGGTGACCCCAAAACCCCCACCTCAACTGGCGCCCCTGCCTCTCCCCAACCTGCAGGAATGGGAGAAGGGTGTGCCTTGGAACCAGGCCTGAGGGGCCAAGTCTTCCCTGAATAAGGGGATGGGTTTAGACTGACTCAAAAAACACTCTGCCACCCACAAAACCCACTCCAACCCTTCTGAGTGAATAAAGCACAAAGAAAACCACCAAGGCTTACTGTGTAGCACTCAATTTTGGAGGGATGGAGCCCATGAGTAAACTGGAGGACTGGGAAGGCAACAGTCAATCTAGTCTCTGATTGTCAGAACTAGGATTTTATTTAATTAGAAATTCTATTAACAAGTCAGATGGGGTCATCAGGGAGAGGTTTTGAAGCTGGGGTAGGAGGTAGCCAGTTTGTGCTCCGGCCACTGTGGACCACGATGTCGTCGTATTCATCCTGGGGGCAGAGGAGGCCAGGCAGAGGGGCTCAGGTGGCTGCCACCTTGCCCCCTGCCCAATTTCTCCCACCCGCCCTAAGATTTGGTCTTGCCTTGAAACCCACGTTTCCCCCCACTCATAGTTCAACTTCCCTGCTTAGTTCTCCATCCACCATTTTCAAGGTCATCTGTGTTTTCCCCACTCCTGCTGGAGCTGTAGCCCAGTTGCTTCTCCAGTTCTACATCCACTGAGGTCTCCCTCCTCCACCCCTTCCCTCTGCCTTTACCCAAATTCCTCAGCTCCCACCATGCAACGTCATCACCTGCCCAAGGGTTCTCCAAAGCAGCAACCTCACCGCTGCCTAAGGTCTTTCCCACTGCTGCCAGTGTTTGAATCACTGCTGCCCACCTACCAGTCACTACAACTGAGATCGTTTCTCTGCCTCTACCTGAGTTCTCCCTCCCTGCAACCCCCGTCCAGGTACTTGCACCGTTTGCACTCCTGCCCGAGTTTTCAAATCACAGCAGCCCAAGGTCAGTCTCAATGTGCTGCTTAATTTCTCTGTTCCCTGTCCCACCTGCCCATCTACCCTGAGCCCCCAGCTGAGCCTCCCAGTCTTTCCTCCTGACTCACGCCCTCATCCCCGCTGTCACTGTCGCTACTGCTGCTGCAGGGTCCAGGCTTGTCGTCCTCATCCTCGGGTTCAGGGGCTCCGTGTGCACGGAGGAGGCGGGCGAGGATGGGGTTGGGCCGGAGCATGGCGCTGCCCAGTGGGGTGCGGCCACCGTACATGCGGGCAGCAGGGTCAGCACCTGCCTTCAGGAGAAGCTCCAGCACATCAGCTGCTTGGGCCTCCACTGCCAAGTGCAGGGGGCTCCGGCCACACGTGGGCTCCTGTGGATGTAGCAGAGAGGTCAGAGGGGGCCCTGCCCCACTCTGGGACAACCCCCAACCTGCAACACCTCCTCCCTAGGGAGGCTCACCAGTTTGTTTAGGTCAGCTCCGGCCTCCCAGAGTAGTCGGACCATCTCTGCATCTTTGTGGATGACGGCCACATGGAGTGGGGTGTGGCCTGGGGACAGAGTGATGTTAGACAATGAGGCTGAGGGACCTGGGCCCCCAATGCCACAGCTCGGCGGAGGGCTTTGTGGCCTGAGGGTGACCGAGTCTGGGGTCTGGATCCTGAATTCCTGGGTGTGTCAAAGAGGCATCTGCATGGCAAATGCCTAAGTCTCAGGGGAACTGGAACTGGCTGGCAGTGCCAATGCTTAGGTTGTGGGCCTATGGCTGAAGATCCTGGGCCTATGGACAGGAGGCCTGGATCTTGGGAACAGGAAACCTAAGTCTCTGGTCTTACTTCACAAAGAACCTGAAACTCAAATTCCTGGGTCCTGAGTGGTTGAAGGACCTGTGAGCTTGGGGGCCTGGGGTGGACCCTGAACACTGACTGGGTCCTGGATGACATCAGTCCCTTTGTGAAGGGGCCAGTCCCGGGTAGTTGGGCTTAGAGATGGGAGAGCCGAGACTCAGACACCAGGGCCCTGGTAGAACTGGCTGAAGAGGGCTGTACCTAAACTCCGGTGTCAACCTTTTGGAGCCTGGGGTACCAGAGTTTCACAGAGGGCCTGAGCCTTGAGTTTCCTTATCCTAGGTGGGCTGGGACCCATGGTTGGGGGTAGGGAGATGTCCAGGATGTGTTGTGCCTTCTGGCTGGGGAGGCTGGGCCCAACCACTGGATTTGGCCTAATAGCTCTAGGCCTGTGGGTTCCTAGTGATCTGGAGCCTCCAGGTAGGGGTTCTGGGTCCCACACAGCCAATTCTCAATAATCTGGGGTCTGGGCAGGAGTCTTTGGTCCCAATGCCTGGGTCCCTGAAGCCTCAGTATTATTTCCCAAGGGGCTGGGTATTGAGTCAGGAGAGCTGAGCCCAAAGCCAGGTGCTGTCACCTGGACCTTCTCAGTAATGTGGACTCTTACCTTCATAGTTTTCAGCCTCTAGCTGCAGCTTCCAGTCCTCATTCTCTTCCTCCTCCTTCTCCAAGTCGGGTTTGGGGTACAACGCAACAGCACTGTGGTCAGTGCCAGGGGTGTGGTCTGTGCCAGGGGTGTGGTCTGTGTCAGGGGTGTGGTCGGTGCCAGGGGTGTGGTCAGGGTCCTGAGCGAGGTAGATATGGGGGGCTTCCCTAGGGTGCTGGGGGCGGGGCTGGAGCAGCACTTGAGCACAGGCGTGTGCCCCCATGCGGCAGGCTAGGTGCAGCGCTGTGTAGCCCCCACGCTCTGCCACATGCAACCCGGAGCCCGCCGTATACAATTTCTCCACCGTGGATGCCTCCCCCAGGATGGCTGCCAGGTGCAGGGCTGTCTGCAGGAGCAGAGCGCAAGTGTTAGAAGTCACACTGAGAATCCTGGCCCCAAGCCCTACACTATCTTCCAGTGGCTCACCTGGCCCAGGTCATTCTGCAGGTCCAGGTACTCAGTACCAGCTGCAAAGCCTAGGAGGAAGTCCAGGAAGGGCTCATGCTGATGAATCACCGCCAAGTGCAGTGCCCTGAGAACAAGGACAGGGGTCAGAAGGCACAGGTCAAGTACTCTTGCACTCACTCATTCAATAAACTGTGTGCTAGCCATTGTGACCACAGTTCTGGAACCAGATGTCAGGAATCTGAGAGGGTCAGGTCTGAGTTAATGTAGAAAATTTATTTAATCAATATTTATTAAGTAGGACTTCTGCCTCCTCTCAAACATGGACCAGATTTCCCTCCCATATGAATCAATGAACAAATCAGACCAAACATCCTATATAATAAAAGGCTAATATGCAAATCGACCAAACGGTGGAATGACTGACCGGTCACTGTGATGCACACTGACCACCAGGGGGCAGACGCTCAATGCAGGAGCTGCCCTCTGGTGGTCAGTGCACTCCCACAGGGGGGGTGCCACTCAGCACACCCTGAGTCGGGCTCACGGCTGGCTAGCGCAGCAGCGGTGGCGGGAGCCTCTCCCACCGCTGTGGCAGTCGGACATCCCCCAAGGCCTCCCGGACTGCGAGAGGGCACAGGCTGGGCTGAGAGACCACCCCCGCCTCCCCCAGTGCACGAATTTTGTGTACTGGGCCTCTAGTAGTATATAAAGCAACAGTTTTCAAAATACTGGACAATGTATCATGCAATGAATGACAGTGTGAGACAGGAAACAAATGAGGTGAAGCCTTCGATTGACTGCCACAGCTTATGGTCTTGAGAGTTTCAAGCCAAGGTGCTGGGAGAGAGAACCTAGGCAGAGTCAGCAGATTGCCTGAGATGAGGAGATGGAGCTGAGTTGGGGGTAGGGGGTTGCCAACTGGCTAGAGTCAGAGGATAGAGAACCCAAGAGGAGAGCCTGGGGAAATGACCCCAGTCTGAAGAAAGTATCATTCAAAAGAATTGGAGAAGTATGCCCATCGCTCACATGGCTGGGAATAGTACCCACTATTCCCACCAGCCAGACTAGGAAAATCCCATCATTCACAGGACATTGAGAAGAATACTCCAGAAGGTCTTACCTCAATAGTGAGGAATAATGAGTGCTAGCTGGGACACTGTTCAGGACCCACCTACCAAATCATAAAAGCAAAACCCAAAAGGATCAAACGAGTTACAAGTAATTTAGCTGTATCCCAGAACAATACTCAAGAATATTTATAGGAAGAAAAAAATATCTATAGGAACACAAAACTAACCAGCCTAACAAGTTAAAATCTACAATATCTGGCATCTAATCAAAGATCATCAGGCACACAAAGAAGCAGGAACACATGACCTATAATTAGAATAATCAATCAACTGAAGTTAACCCAAAAATGATCCATATGTTAGAATTAGCAAACAAGAAAATTAAAACAGTTCATTATAATTGTATCTCACATATTCCAAAAGTTAAGTATAGACATGGATGATAAAAGAAAAAGATTCTAATTGAACTCCTAGAGATAAAAACTACAGCATCTGAAATGAAAAACACACTAGATGGAATTAACAACAGATTGCACATTGCATTAAGAAAAGATGAACGAGCCCTAACCAGTTTGGCTCAGTGGATGGAGCGTCGGCCTGCGGACTGAAGGGTCTTCAGTTCGATTCCGGTCAAGGGTATGTACGTTGGTTGCGGGCACATCCCCAGTAGGGGGTGTGCAGGAGGCAGCTGATCAATGTTTCTCTCTCATCGATGTTCCTAACTCTCTATCCCTCTCTCTTCCTCTCTGTAAAAAATCAATAAAAATATAATTTAAAAAAAAAGAAAAGATTAACGAATTTGAAGACTTCACAACAGAAACTCTCCAGAATGAAACACAGAGAACATTTAAAAATGAAAGAACATCAATGAGCTTCAGGGAACATGTCCCTAAAGCAGTGGTTCTCAACCTTCCTAATGCCGTGACCCTTTAATACAGTTCCTCATGTTGTAGTGACCCCCAATTTCATTGTTACAAATTGAACATAATTAAAGCATAGTGATTAATCACAAAAACAATATGTAATTATATATGTGTTTTCCAATAGTCTTACACGACCCCTGTGAAAGGGTCATTCGACCCAAAAGGGGTTGGACCCACAGGTTGAGAACCACTGCCCTAAAGGAAGAGGTAGATAGAAAAAATATTTGAAGAAATAATATCTAGAAAATTCTCCAAACTTGCTGAAAACTCTTAAACACACAGAACCAAGAATGTGAATGACTGCCAAGAACAAGAAATATCAGGAAAACTACACCAAGATCCATTATTTAAAAATCTCTTCAAAATCAAT